TTGGTAGGTTTCTTTCGATGACCTCTAGGAGGAATGGCGTAACAATGTAATGATATCACATCACGGTCTTTGAGGCAGCCGAGTATTCTCCACAATCTGACTAATCGATATCCATAGGGGCAGTTTGCTGGGGGAGATGGAGAGCTTCAGATATAACTAACGATATTAAGATATTTGTAGAGTTGGGGGTGGTAGAAGGACGGGGACATGTGGAAGAGGGAGTATTGTTGAGGGTAGTAGTATTACAGAGATGGAGAATAAGGCTGTAAGGTAGCAATAAGGGGGGATGGGGTGATTGATGAAGAAGATTGTGGGGGGTAGAGATGAAGTTGAGGAAGATGGGAGAGTACGAATGTCTTCTGCACATTGAGACTCAACTTGGGTGGATAATGTACAAATAGGCATTAAGGGGTGGGTAGTAGTTGCAGTCGTGGTCAAAGGAGAGCCAGGGGTCAAGGAGCTGGTAGAGTTTGAATTAGTGGGGTTATTTCATGAAAGGGCAAGCCTCACTGCCCCTAATAAGGGACGATGAGATGAGCTTTGACTACGTTGGGGAAATAAAGTCCATCCGTCAGGGTCCCCTTGAAGGTTCAAGGCTAAACAACTCAAACAGGGGAATACTGTGCCCATGGTTCCCTTAGGCCATTCAGGACAGGCACAAAGTTAGCCTTTCTTCCTTTCAGCACAGCTCTTACACTCTAGGAAGTAGATAGTAGAAGGGGTAGGAGAAGGGACGGAAACGAAAGAGCAGGAGGGAGAAAAGACCATGCAAAATTAGTTGAGTCGAGGGCTGAGGCCCTAGGCAGGGGAGATCCCTGCATTGGGTCTCAGTCTCCGTCTCCTAAGCTAAGGGATTAGGGGGGTATGATGCAAGGAGTAAAATAAAAACTAATATATGAATATCCTTATTTGTATTTAATACATAATACAGATCTTACCACAGTTGAAAGTGAATACACTGCAAAACTATATCATCCTATCTGATTTTGGGATAAATGATTCTAAAGAGAAAGGAATGGCAACAAAGACAGCTGTGCACTTTGTGAGTATAGTACCCATAAGATTTGCTGACTGCTCGCTGTATTACTTCACACCTGTATACAAATTTTATTTCTTTCCAAATCAAGGTGCTCTAGAAAGTCAGCAGACCCCCAAATTCAATAAAGCCGATCAAGCCCAATTAATATTCCATTTTCTACATAGATGTTTCTATTAATTTAACCCTATATTGCTTATCTTTTGCAGAAACAATATCTACAAATACTATAACCAGGAGAGTAAATTTGCCATATCAATTTATTCTGAAAACCCTTTTCACTGCTGACTCACTAGAGTACTCCAACCAATAACCTATGACACTTAATAGCCGTTAAAATTGCAATTACAAACCAACATAAATAGAAAACATTTAAGCACACATTTTCCAGTCGATAAAAAAAAGGGAAAAAAAAACAATATTTAATAATCTAACACACTGAATGTGTACTTTACATTTATGTACATGTAATGAATATACCTTAAAATCATGAAACCCATTTTGAACTGATTTAACAATCACAGTATAAAATATAGGATTAGAGCTTTGGTGTTCTTGTATGGGAGGGAATTTAAATGTTGGGGCGGGATAGAGCTGGTAACTGAAGCATGGAATTTAGAAATGAAGTAAAACATCTTTAGACAAGATATAAATTTACAGCTACAAACTGTCTTGTATGAGTTACACAGCTCAGCCACATGAGTTTCACATGATAATGCAACCATTCTGAGTCTGGTATCTTAACAGGGATATCACCAAAAGTACAATGTAGCCCAATCCCAACTGATATTTTAATCTCCTCACCATTTCTCACTCATCTGATAGCATCTACTTTGTTTCTCAGAAGGAATTAAGGATAGGTAAAGTCAGTGGTATCCTGCCCCAAAACTCAAAGCGAAAAAAAAAGTCTAGCTGCAGTAATGCACCAACAGGTAGATCCTCAAAATTTTAATTATTTCAATTCTTAAATTAATTCAGAACAAAGGTATATTACAAATATATATCATATATAGTCCCTAATATGGCAAATTATGAAATTATTAAAAAACTGTTTATAACAAGGTTTCATCCCTTTTGGAAACAAGTAACAAGTAACATGTCCAAAATATAACTATCTGGTAGCATGGTACTTACTAGCCTGACATATTTCCTATAATGTCCTCTGAAGCAACTCTGTTTTGAAAATCAGCCCCCAAAAAGCTTACCCTACCCTTGACAGTATGCCAGATTTAAGCTAATTGGAAAGAATTTTTTTTTTCTTAATTCTATAAATTGTGATCATAAAGAAAATTTATAAGATATAGACAATATATAATTAATATGCCTCCTTTTTAGGCTGCAACAGGGTTAACCTTCCCAGTAATACCATGGGGGTGCTAAACCTGCATGGCTTCCATGTAACCTAAGTTTGCTCATCCAATAAAATATCAAACGATTAAGCTGAAAGAATCAAGAGAACCTTTCCCATAGTTGATTTCTTGTTTCGAATATTTACTCCTCATAACACTGTTCCTTATAAGCCATTTTTTTTCTTTTTATCCATGGATCCTGATGAGATAAGATCAAGAAAAATAAGCAATAAATAAAAATTATCTGAAGTAGCAGTATTTCTATAATAATAATAATAATAATAATAATAATAATAATAATAATAATTAAAAAAAAAAAAAATTAAAGGCCAATCCCCATGTGAAATGTTGATAAAGGTGCAAGATATACTCCCAAAAAAGTATTGTCTGGGGCACCACTGTATGTACAAGTAGTGATCGTCGCACAACATGGTCAGTCACACTCAAAAGTTGCTCCTGGAACCGGCCCGGGATTACAGATCCCTTTCTTCTCTTCTGAGCTCATGTATCTGATATCACAAATGGAACCAAGTGCTTCCTTCTTACGTACTAGAAAATCTGGAAACAAAGGATAATGCATAAATACAAGTGCTAAAAAAATCACACTTGTAAATATTATGATTTAAATTGGATCCCCAAATTGTAAAATACCTTTCATAAATATTTATATGTGTGCGCGCGCATGGTATGTGTGCGTATGTGTAGTATATGTGCTTGTGTGTGCTTGTGTGTGCTTGTGTGTGTGTGCGTGTAGTGTGTGGGTAGTGGGTGAGTAGTATATGAGTGTGTATATGTGTATATGTCTGTATATGTGCGTAGTGTGAGTACGTAGTGTGCGTGTGCGGTGTGTGTGTGTGTGTGTGTGTGCGTAGTGTGTGTGTAGTGTGTGTGTAGTGTGTGTGTGTGTAGTGTGTGTGTGT